TCCTTTTCGCTAATATAAATTTTGCTTAATTTAAGCACACTAACTACGCTGCAAAGGTAATTGTTGTTGAATTGATTGTGATGTTTGTATAGCGCCGTTGCTAAGAAGGGTTTCCACCCTTCCAAGAAGAGGGTTGCAACAGAGACATACCTTGGATCCCGAATTGTCCTCGTTAAGCGAACACGATCCCAATCGTCTTATCGAGTGTAAGTGGGTCATTACGAACACTAGTTTTTTTTTTTATTTTTATTTATTTATTTATTTATTTATTTAATTATAAGTACTTAGAGTAATCGAAAGAGTCAATTAGTTATCCACATCTCTCTATATAGAATCCTCTTATCCTTTCTTCGTATCTTGTCTCTTGATTCAACATCAAGATCGTAATATAAGAATGTTTCGATGATTTCGACCCAACTTTCATTTCTCCATTTCTCTCTACTTTCCTTAGTGCATTTCTTGATTTCTTAGAGCGTAAATGTTGAGTAATCGAGTATTGGTTGTGTCTTCAATTGTTGATCTTTTACGAAAAAGCATGTCGTAGTTAAGGATATTTTGTGTATTGTCATAGATTTGGATATCTAGCACGATATTGTATCCAGTGAAAACCATCCACAAGCGTTTCAAGAATTTTTTTGAATGCGTAAAACAAATATACACGATTGTATACGCACAAATAAAAAAGTTAATCGTGAAGCATGATTTCACACTGTCATTTCGATTTTTATATAATCAGAAATTTATAAAAATTTACCATTTAATAGGTCAATTTATATTCAATATTCCTGAATCCATCGTTATCGAAAAAACTAGCCTGGAAAACTACCAAACTTCTTCCCTTACCTCTTCCCGATTTTCAAAAGCGACTTCTTTCTTCCAGAAATTAAGAAAAAACGAAACAGATAAATCAAAATTCTCATTCCCTCGAACAATAACAGCAATTTATCACAAATTCCTCGAACACCCCTCCACTTTCGAAAAGCGAATCCATCATCCTCTTCTGTAAAAACTACCCTAGAAAACCTATCCCTCGCCGCTTCTCTTACTTCACCCCCGATCCAAAAAGCAATTTCTTTTCAGGAATCGACAAACAGACGTCACGACCCAGTTTCTTCGAGTTTCGATAAAAAAAGGAGAGAGAGAGAGAGAGAGAGAGAGAAGCCAGAAGAAACGAAAACCCTTCCACTCCTAATCTCATCCTCGAAGAACGAATGGAGAAGAGCGAGACATGATCACCCCCTTTTCTCCCCGCGTTCTCCTCCCCGCCGTGGAGACGTTTTTCGGCGCGATGTTTGCGCGAGAAGATCGGTTGTTTGGAGGCGGGCCAGCCCCATATTTTTGTCCCCTCGATCGGGTGGAAACTGGTGCAACGGGACCCGCAATACGGAATCCCTATGCGGGGATATATAACCCAGGCGAGAGAATCTCCTCCTCATCCAGAGTTTTCACGCAAAAAGAATTTTCCATGGCGACGACCTATATTCCGCGATTCTTGCTTACAACCTTGGTCCCCCTTCACATTTTTCCCCGTGGCGCTCGAGTTTTGACCTCCTCTCCTCTTCCGTGGAGAATTCTTTTTTCTTTTTTTTTTCTTTCTTTTTTTCGACTCGATGCAACCGGATTATCGCTGCCCTCGTTTCCAACTTCGGGATTTGGGGTAATCCCCGCGTTGGAGACGTGTGTTGATGGATCGTTGATGATGTGCAATCCTTTGTTACGTCAACTATCTTATGGGAAGGGATTTTTTTTTTTCGAGTGATGGAGTTCGATTTAATTAGTAGTGATTGTTGATTGGAGATGTTGGCTTTAGAAGGATTTGTTTTAATTTTTTGCAATTTTTGAATGAATAGACGAAAGGGAAGAATTTTTTTTTTTTACAAAATTGATAATCGATGTGTTTCGTGGTATTTTTTTTTTTTTTTTTTTTTTAATACGTTTTTGATCATTTTCTATTGAACGAAGTCAGAAATTTTTCTTGGAAAATTTTGTGTCGTTATGAGGGAATTTTTTGAGTGATGGGGTTCGATTTAATTAATTAGTAGTGATTGTTGGTAGATGTTGGCTTCAGAAGGATTTGTTTTAATTTTTTACAATTTTTGAATGAATAGACGAAAGAGAAAAATTTTTTTTCATTATGGAGGGAAAGGATTTTTCGAGTTTTTACAATTTTTTTTACAATTTTTGAATGAATAGACGAAAGGAAAGAATTTTTTTTTTTACAAAATTGATAATCGATGTGTTTCATGATATTTTTTTTTTTTTTTTTTAATACGTTTTTGATCATTTTCTATTGAACGAAGTCAGAAATTTTTCTTGGAAAATTTCGTGTCGTTATGAGGGGATTTTTCGAGTAATGGGGTTCGATTTAATTAGTAATGATTGTTGATTGGAGATGTTAGCTTCAGAAGGATTTGTTTTAATTTTTTACAATTTTTGAATGAATAGAATTTGTGTTTCATGGTATTTTTTCTTTTTAATACGTTTTGATCATTCTCTTCCTGAATTGAAGGAAATCAGAAATTTTCTTTGAAAAATTTTGTGTCGTTATGAGGCGATTTTTCGAGTGACGGGGTTTAATTTAATTAGTAGTGATTGTTGAAAAGGGAAAAATTTTTTTTTTACAAAATTAATAATCGATGTGTTTCATGGTATTTTTTTTTTTTTTTTAATACGTTTTTGATCATTCTCTTCCTGAATTGAATGAAATTTTCCTCGGAAAACTTCGTGTCGTTATGGGGGGAGAGGATTTTTCGAGTGACAGGATTTAATTTAATTAGTAATAGTTGTTGGTAGATGTTGGTTTCAGAAGGATTTGTTTTAATTTTTTACAATTTTTGAATGAATAGACGAAAGGGAAGAATTTTTTTTTACAAAATTGATAATCGATATGTCTCATGATATCTATTATTTGCATTTTTAATACGTTTTTGATCATTCTCTTCTTGAATTGAACGAAGTCAAAAATTTTCCTCGGAAAATTTCGTGTTGTTATAAAGAGAAGGGATTTTTCGAGTTTTTACAATTTTTTTACAATTTTTGAATGAATAGACGAAAGGGAAAAATTTTTTTTTTACAAAATTAATACTTGATGTGTTTCATGGTATTTTTTCTTTTTAATAAGTTTTTGATCATTCTTTTCCTGAATTGAACAAAGTCAGAAATTTTCCTCGGAAAACTTCGTGTCGTTATCGTTGACCCGTTTTCGTATCTCTCCAAGCACGCGTGAGTAAAAATTATTTACATGTCGATAACGTATTTCTATCCCACTATTCCCACTTCACTAGCGTGTTATCTTTAAAAGAAAGAAAAAAAAAAAAAGCCACCACTATTTTGCATTTTAATTATTCTCCATTCCATTATCGCCACCGCTTCATTCAGACCGAGTAGAAACGAGAATATCTCCAATTTCCATTCATTTCTAAAAAAGAAAAAAGTAAATGTAAATATTTCTACAAAATCTTCAACGAATCGTATCCCATATTCCTTCAATTAACAAATTGAAAAACTTTCACTTTATTAATGTCCATCTCGATCGAGGAGAAGACGAAGTAAAATCAAATCTGTCCGATTATGATGATCGAAAATGTGGCGCGTTCCAGAAGAAAGCGTTCCACAAAACCAACGACTCGTACTCTCCTACTCTCGAAAACAGTTTGCAACTGAGAATCGTTTCGTTTGTGAAACGATTAGGGAGAGGATATGCCGCGATAGGCGAGAAAAATTGTGCGTGAACGCACGAGCCGAGGGAAGTGGAGCGGCCTCGTGGAAATTGGAGGAGTCGGGCGAGGCTTTCACCTTTCGGTTACGCAAAAAAAAAGAAAAGGAAAAAAAATTACTCGAACAATGAACCGCGCTCTTCTGATCCATCGACGACAAAAAGCCGGTGTGATTCTCGCACCCAACGTCTCGGCGACTTCTCTTTGTACAATTCTCTCTCTCTTGAAGAAGAAGAAGAAGAAGAAGAAGAATGGTTGGTTTTATTGGGAGAGTGTGTTGGAAGCATAACAGATGCGATCTTGTTTTATATTTATGGTAAAGTGAGAGCACTCGAGTTGGGGGTTGGATTTGATAAATTGAGAAATGAGTTGGGAAATAAAAGAGGAGTAAAGTTTATTATAGGATTTTGCAATTAAAATTTGTAATTTACGATTACAAGGGTGCAGATTGTTGGAAGAGATAAATTTGGTTGAGTTTTGGATGGGTCGAATCGATAGTTTCAGAATTTTCTATTCTTTTTTAACGCGTAGCCTGGTTTAAAAAGCGTTTAAAACTCGTGGCACGCGCCGACCTATTTATATTTATTCCACGATCAACTCGCTTCAACAGCCAAGTCCTTGGTACGCAGTTTTGTGGAAAAAGTTTCAAGCTTCGATATAAGCGCAATGAACAGAAAATGGTTTATTGATACCCGTCTCGGATGCTTGAACAACTCTCTTTGATGAATTATTCAAGACCGCCGCGATGTCTTTATCAAGTTTCTCTTTCTTCTTAATTAGAAAAATGTCAACAAAAGGATCTCCAAATATTTTTCACCTTTTAAATCCTATTTTATACCCTATCGAAGATTTTTTAAATATCGATTCGATTAGAATAATAATAAAAAAAAAAAAAAGAACAAAAAAAATTAG